ACTGGGAAATAATTTCCTACCCAAATCCTCCTCCCCTCTCCTCCTTATAGTTTCACTTCCAAGGCTGCCTCCTCCAGGCAGACTCCTGGGGGTTCACACCTCTAATTAGGGGAGACTCAGGCCTGCGGGAGGCTTTGGGTAGGACAGAGTTCAGCTCAGTCAAACTCCCCCAACATCTAGGGGACTCACTACCTCTCAGGAAGTCCCTTGATCTCTTTTGGGTTTCTCCCTTGGAAGGAGGTTTTGAATGCTTATACGGTGTCATGCACAGTTCTGAGAGTCTGATGTGGATTTTCTACTGGAACTCTCTAATTGATTCTAGGAAGTGTTATTTTTAGCCCCACTTCACAGGTGGGAAAAGCTGAGGCTCTAAGGCTACCAAACGAGTGAGCAAGTGATGAAACGAGGAACAATGTCCAAAACGCTTAATTGCACCATTAAAATGTTTGAATTCCTGCAGGGAGCTAGGAGGGGCTGGGGGCCAGATTGCCTGAGTCTTTGCAACTGACCTTGCAGCCCCATCTTCTCAGGATCCTCCAGGGCTAGACTGAAGATCAGCATGTGGCGGGCTACAGCCTCCAGATTATTCTCCAGCACATAAAACTGGAAAGATGGACAGGGAAAAGTAATTCTGAGATCTGTGTCCCTGGCTCTTATGAGACCCAGGAATCGGAGACCTTGGCCCCCTCCTTCCACAGGACCCAGGAGACCTTTATTCTATCCTTCAAACACAGGAGTGAGGAACTCAGAACCCTCCTCCCCATCACTACGCAGGAGACCCAATCCTTAGGCTCTTCCTCCCATTTGAACCCTGGAGTAGCCAACCCCAGGCCCTTCCTTTCCTAGACCTAGGAGTCTGGGCCTCCAGCTCCTTCCTCCCTCTAGGCTCTCATCTTCATCCTCCTTCCACTACCCCATAATCCCAGCTCACTTGGAACCTCCTTTGGGGCCAGAGAGCAGCCCGGGCCAGGGTCTGCAGCAGGTGCCGCCCATCCGTGGAGCCCAATAGCAGCACATTTAGGTCGGGTGTCCCGTGCTCTGTATCAGCCTGCAAGTCTGGGTCCACAGGAGGACCTAAGGAGACGACAGCGGGCTGAGGGTGGTGGCCTGGAGAGCGGCCCTGAAGACAGGCCCAACACGATGGACTATAACTCCCAGCAGGACTTGCACCTCTGGCCTAGGTTTCAAAGGGAGCTGTGCCTCTAAGCATTCTCTGCGGGACCTCGTAGCCCGCAGAGAGGCATCTAGACTGCACTGGGGGGCACCCCCCGCCCTTGGAGCCTCAGAGAACATTAGCGCGCCATCTGCCAGGCTCCGAAGGATGATTTGTGATCCTGCGTGGGGGACTCACTCTCAGCCTGCAGGTCCACCGCCGGGGACAGGCCCCACCAGGACACAGTGCCGAAGCCCGAGCCCGAGCCTGCCGGTGTGGTCATCGCCCTGCAGGACAGACATCCTGGAATCCCCAAACATCACGTCTGCATCGCCCACCCATTCCCCTCTCACCTCTGCTGACTTCTCGCCCCTTTCTTCCGTGTGACACCCCCTCACCTTTATCCTTCCAGATAACCCGAGACGCCCCCTCCCTCCTTGCTCTGAGCTGCGCTGGGGCCCCACGCCCCTATATAACGGCTGCCCGTAGTCCCCGCCCTTTCCGATCAATAGGCCAATGGGAGTGTGCAGGTTGGCAACGCCGCTATCAACTGACCAATGAGAGCGAGAGAGACCTGCAAGCTACGAACTTTTGGCCAATGGGAAGACTGAGGAACGTACCAGGTTTGTGAAAGAGGAGGGCGTGTGGACGCGGCTGTCATGACGACGGCGCTGGGACAGAAGGGGCGGATCCAGAAGAGACTAGGGCGGAGCCTGGGGCAGTCCAATTCAGGCAGAACAGAACTGACCCCTCACATCCTGGCTCTACCAGACAGGGCTTCTCACCAGGTGGGGAATACAGCCAAGTGCTAGCTGGTTGTTAAATTTTTAGGAATTTTGTGACCTATTGTTACACACAATCATGACTAAAAATTAAACTTTTTACTAAATTAATTACTAAAAATTCCAATTAAATAATTGCATTAAAATAAAGGTAATCATACTCAAAACTCATCACTTCCTATTTTATTATACTTTACCAGCTGAGGATCTTCCTCAGAGTTCTGCTCTTGCCTTCCCAGCAGAAGGCCACTGCTGTCTACCCTGTGACTCCCACTACTTTATATTCCGGGCCAAGGAGCTAGAGAATGTGGCTTTGGGTGCCAGACAGACATGGCTGGGCTTACACCTTGTTCTGTCACTTGCTGGCTGAGAGGCCACGGCCAGATGACTTAACCTGTCTGTGATGCCACAAGGACAGGGACTCAAGTAAGATACATCTCCAGATCAACCGTAGTGCCCAGCCCAGGGCACAGCATCCACAGAGCCTTGGTCCTCTGCCTCCTCTCCTCATCCAGCTGCATGAACTTAGACAAGTCAGTCACACCATCTGTGCCTGTTTCCTGCTCTGTGAAATGGGACTGGGCTCATGCAGCTGGCAGGAGTGTGGCAGATTGAAAGCAGTTCCATCTGCCTGCTGAGGACAGTTCTGGGCACTGGAAAGGAAATGAAGGCTAAGATTTCAGCAGTCCCTCCAGGAGTGAGTCAGCCAACCCGTGGCTCCTCCTGAGTCAGCCTCAGCCCATTAGAGCCCCAGATCCTGACTTTCTCCAGCGAAGCTTAATGCTTTTCACCTCCATCACCACCACTCTCCGCAATGCCTTCTCCATGGAGGGGCCAGAGTAATCTTACAAGTACTCCAAACCATGCCACACCCCTCTAACACCCTCCTGAGGTTTCCCCCTGCAGACAGATCAATCCCAGCCCCGTAATTCCACCTCCCAGGTCCCATGGGATCTGGCTCTTGGCTGTGTCTCTTACATCGGGCCCTACCCCCCAACCCCCTACCCCAATCCGGTACCACCCTCCCTCCAGCTACACTGCCTTCTGGCTCTTTTGAGAATGTATCAAGCCTGTTCCTGCCCCAGGGCCTTTGCAAGGAACTTGAGGTTCCTCCTGTCTGGAATTTTCTTCCCCTTCATCTTTGTGGGTTTTAAAAATTGTGATAAAATACATACAACATGAAGTTTACCATTAATGACATTAGGTACATTCACAGCCTTGTGCAACTATCACTACTCTCTAGTTCCAGAAATGTGTCATCACTGCATAAAAGACCTCATACCTATTAATCAGTCACTCCCCATTTCTCCCTCTCCCTAGTCCCTCAATACACTAGTTAACTTTTGTCCCTCTATAGATTTGCCTATTCTAGACATTTCATATAGATGAATTCATATAATATGTGGTCTTTTTTGTCTGGTTTCTTTCACTTAAAATCCTGCGGGTTTTTTGTGGGGGAGGGCATAGCTCAGTGACAGAGTATGTGCCTAGCATGCACAAGGTCCTGGGTTCAATCCCCAGTACCTCCATTAAAAACAAATAAATAAATAAGTAAACCTAATTACTCCCTCAAAAAAAAAAGATTAAGAAAAAAGAATAAACAGATCTTTTAAAAATAAAATTAACATAAAAATAGGGAAAAAAGTGTTTTCAAGGGTCATAATGCTATAGCATGAATCAGTACGTCATTTCTTTTTATGCCATTGTATTTCCCCCTCATCTTTACAATCCTCATGCCTTCTTGTCATTCAGATCACAGCCTAAGTGCTACCTCTTCAGGGAAGCTGTCCCTGACCACCCTTTGTACATCATCTTGGCCCACACTAATTTCCTCCCCAAACTGGTCACTGTTTGTAATGGTTGTAGACTTCTCATTTACCTTGTTAAGCCATGGAACCAGGGATGCCAATGCCATCATCTAACTCAGAACAGATTCAGCCCCGGATTTAGACAAGGACTTCCTGCCTGTAGGATCCTGAGCGGGTCATGTTAATTCCCTGAAGCACAGCTTTCTCATGTGTCAACTGGGAATAATGATTGTGTCTACTTCATGAGGTTGTTGGAGGATTATTATCAGAAGCAGTAGCAGTAATAGTAATATTACACAGTACTGTCTTTATAAAGATGTCCCCTCACTCATACATGAGAAATTACTGCATTCCTTTGGAGAAAAAAAAATTTTTTAATCTCATGGGCCTCACAACCTAGGTAACTGATCTAATTTCCCCTTTCCCATTGGCTACTAGGAAGCCTAGGGGGATAAGTTTGTACTCTGCGCCTTTCCTTAGCACGTGGGAGTACTTTTTGGCTGATTTTAAACTTAACCTGCTGCTCTGAGAGCTCACTTGCCAAATTTCATGGACCTATGTCTGCCACCTGTCTGGAATGAGATGGAGGAAAAACCAGTGAAACAACAATCTTTCCTAGACACAGACTGACAGAATTTGTTGAAAGCAGAACGAGGCGTAGTTGCAACCACTGTCTCTCCTTGTGTAAATCTTTCTCTCATTCTCTGGAGATTTCATTCCCAGATCTTGCACAGCTACTTTGTTTCTTTGATGAGAGCAAGTTGCTTGGAAGTAAAGTCTGAATTTGCATCTATTAGGGTTCCCAGCATCCAAAAGAAGCTGGTACACAGAAGACCTCAGGGAATACAGAATGGATGGATGACGCAAGGAAGAAAGGAAGGAAGGGAGGGGAAAATATGGGTAGGAAAATCTATGTGAATCATGGGTGAGGGAGCAGATAAAGTCATGAATAGGTAAGTGAGTTCTCATTGACTCCTCACAGCAAACATACAGGAGGTATTCCTAGTACCTTGATTCTTTCAGATGAGGAAACGGAAGGTTGGAGGAGTGACTGAATGAATAAATGAAGGAGTGAATGGGACAGTGAGTAGGTGAGAGGATGGATGGATGAAGGGGGTGGGGATGGGGTTCCCTGTGTGTTTCCAGGATGGGCAGCCCTATCCCTGCCCTTGTGTGGCCTCACCCCTGGAGGTTCACTCTTGGGTTCCCCGCCCATGCCCCTGCCCACCCCCAACACGGAGCACCGGGCCAGGCCAGCAAAGTTGCTAAGTATTTATTTGGTCCCAGGATTGGTGCAGGGATCAGACTGGGGCCAGGAGTGGGTGATCCTATGCAGGGAAAAGGGCATTGGGAGTCAAGGGGATAGTAGGCTGGGGTCACTGATTGTCAAAGCAGAGGGTGGGGCCCTGGAGTCGGGGAGGGAAGACTGCCCCCCTCCCCCAGGGGCCCCTGGGGCTTCTGCGTGGTTGGGGAGTTGGCAAGTTATCATGATTGGAGTAATGGAGGGGGAGAAGGCAGGAATGGGTGGGGGTGTTAGCGTTCAGAGAAGGCTTAAAGGTGGGCATGGGCGTGGCTTGGGCCAGGAGTCTGGGGTCAGAGCTTGAGGGTGGGGATCAGGGTGCTGGTGGCGGCCTTACTCTGTCAGGGGGCCGCAGAGAGTGCCACTGGGCAATGGGCCGCCGGGGATTGGCCAGCATGTCCGCCCAGTGCCGCAGGCCAGCCCCACCGGCTGCGGCTCCTACGGCCACCCTCCCGATGGCCTCGTTCTTGCCCAGCTTGTCGTAGTCCAGCACAGTCAGCTCCACCTGGACCTTCTGCGGTGGGCAGGGGAGGAGGAGGAGACCGGAGAGTGGGGTGAGGAGGCACGGGGAGACCCTCTCCCCCATAACCACAGTTCTGGGGGGACTCTTGCTAGGCCCTGGGCTAAGGCTTCACCTGGAGCTCGGGCAGGGCGGGGGTGGGAAGTGAGAGGGGCCTCGTGTCCTGCAGTTGGTTAGACTGATGCTCGGGGGTCTTCCTGGGATCAGATTTCAAGAGATAAACCTTCAGGGCCCCTGCTGGTCTGGGGTTGTTAGGAGGCTCCTTAAGAGGCAGCCTCCTAAGAGGGGTAAGTCTTTAAGACTGTTAAATGGGCAGAGGGGCCAGGCCTTAGGGTTGTGGGAAGGTCTCTTTTTCTCAGTAACCAGAGCACTGGAGTGGGCGGGGCATCCTGGTCCTCAGGAGGAAGCTGACATTGACAATATAACCAGATCCCCAAGACCTGGCTTCTAGGGTTACGAAGGAGTCTCCCTTCCCTTAACAACGGGTTTTCTAAGGGCCTGGGACTCTGAGGGGAAAGGGCTGTTCTTGCAGGGGCTCTGGGCAGGTCTGGGCTCACCTGGACCTGGTCACAGGGCACCTCGAAGCTGAAGGCCTCGTTGTAATAGGGGTTCAGAGTGTTCTTCTTGATGGTCGTTTTCTTCTTCCGCACCTTTTTGCCGCCCTGCAGCAGGTGGACCTTGACATATGGATCTGGGGAGAGGGAGGAGGAATCTTATAGTCCGCTCTCTGCTGAGTCCAGGGGAATCAGATTGAGGGGAATGCATGAGGCTCTTCTTCGGAAGAACATAGAGACACCATATGCACCCCTCAGGACTCCCTCTCTGTACCAAAATCGAACCTATATCCTCCATGGCAGACTGGGCCTTCCTCTTCCCTAAGGGACCCTCAGGGCCCAGAAACTGCCAGAACCTCCCCCACCCACCACCACCACCACCATTTTCTTGCTTCCTACACACCTGACAGCCCTCCTACATCCATCTTCTTCAGGTTTTTAGCCTCCAGAACGATGACGGTGAGCTTCCCGGCCGTGGGAACATAGCGGAGAGAGAAGCAGATGTCGCCTAGTTTCTCTTGCTGGAAGGTGGAGAGGGACCCATCACCGGAGCCCGGGCTCCTCATCCATTCCCTCTGCGAAATTTCTTCCCTCCCCCTAGTCTTGGAATGGTATGGTCCAGAGGTAAGGCCCCAGTGGGACCATCCATGGGGGCCTTTCGAGGGGGAGGCGTCCATCTACCAGGAGAGACCTGGGAGCAACTCATCTGCAGCAGGTGAAAGGGCTGGAGCTCGGGGAATCCGGGAGGCCTGGGATCTGATTGGCCCGGGGTCGCGGGTGGGCTGGCCCAGCCACGGGGGCGTGGCCACGCGTGCTCACCTCTTCCCTAGGAGCCGCCTGCAGCTCGCGCCAGGCCAGCACTGGGCGCCCCAAGTCCACGGAGCTCATGGGGATCCGTACCTCCCCGATGACGTCGTTGCGGGAGAAGCGGTCGAAGTCGTACACCGCCATGACCAGTACCCTGCCCCCCAGCTCCACGTAGGGGATCTGGGGTGAGGGGAGCGCAGAGAGAGCGAAAAGTGAGAGTAGGAAGTCAGAGGCTGAGGAAGTGGGGCAAAGCACATCCAGGTGGAAGGCTAAGAGTCCGGGCAGCGAGGGTCCAAGGGAACGGTTGCGGGGGTGTCCATGGGACCCAAACGGGACCGTCCAAGGACGAATGGAGCAGTCCACGGGTCAGCAGAGCCCCAAATGGACAACACAGGTTCTTGTGAGAGAGTCCCCAGAGCTGGTAACTGCCAGCAGTAAAAGCTGAAGGGATGGATCCCCAATGTTCCAGGGACTGGAGACAGGCTGCCGGGCATGGAACACTGAGGCCAGGAGCTCACCTTGAAAGCAAAGTTCTCCCCAAAGTGAGGGTTCAGAGTCTGCCGATGCACCCTGGTCTCATGACGCCTCCGTTTGTCTGGCAGCAGGTAAACCCGCACGTAGGGGTCAGAAGAGCCACCTAGATCCAAGGCTGCCAATCCTTCAGCTTGCAGGATGCCCACAAGCAGCTGTACAGCAATGAGGAGGGACCTAGCCTTAGCTTCCCTTCTGGAGCCTCCCACAAGAAGGGGCCAGAACCCCCCCCCTCGACACCCACCTGGCCACTCTGGAAATCATAATCCAGTGAGTACTGCAGTCGTCCTAGTTCGTGCTTCTCTGCCACCTGCTGCCCTGGCCCAGATGGTGCCGGCTCCAGCTCCTCCACTTCTGGTTGCACCTTAGGGAGCCAGGGGCAAGGGCAGGTGAACTCTTCCCCTGAAAATGGTATCCTCCAGGCACAGAAGCCAAAGGAAACTCACAGATCCCTCCAGCTATAACTAAACACTTGCAAGCTCAATAGGGTCAATGTTTGATTGGTGATGTCTGCCACAGGCAGGTACTAGCCATGGTAACACACAGTGTGGTATGTTTGTCAATGTTTGATTAGTGATGTCTGCTATGGGTGGGGAACAAACGTGTTGACGCACATGCAATGTGTTTGTCATGCTGAGACTAGAAAAAACCAGCGCTGACAGTATCTCATTGTCTACAGGATGGATGCAGATTTTATTTCACACATTAATGGATGTATTGGGGTGACTGTCCAAATTACCATGTTAATTAGTGATCTTGCCACAGAAAAACATAGAGGAGAAATGAGATATTTACTATATATTTGCCATTCTAAACTAGAACAGCAAAATCAGAAGACTTAATGTAAGTCACCAATTTTCAAAATATAATGTGAATCAGAATTTCCCTGAGTAGTCTGGTAAAATGCCTTCACTTCAGAGGTTCTGACTCAGTAAGTCTGGTGCAAGATCTGGAATTTGCATTTCAACAAGTACTAGAGGTGATACAGTTGCAGATGGTCTTTGGAGTCACTGGCTTAGGTGACAGGGGGAGACTGGATACCAGGACCCTTAAGGGCATCCCTTTAAGGGTGCTCATTATAAAAGCTATTTGTTGAGAAGGGAAGAGGTGGAGTCCTAGTTATGGACCACAGACTTGAGGCTCAGGGACGGTCAGTGAATTTCCCAAGGTCACAGAGCTGGTTGTTCTAGGACTCTCTGGCTCCCAGGTAAGCCTCATTCTACTCTGTGTGCAGAGGCCAAAAGCTCAGATACTTGTACCTGTAGCTTTCCATTTTCCACTGCAATGGCCTCTTCCAGCTCATGCTTCCTTCAACCTCTCAGGGCTGCCATTCAGCCTCCTTCCTTGTCTCCTTGCCCCAGATCTGCCCTCCACATGGGTTCCAGAGGATTCACCCTAACACTCATGTAACCCTGTCCCTCTTTTGCTCAAAACTTCTGCGGCTCCCAGTCGCCTTCATTACATGGGCAATACTGAGCTCTCACAGGGTATCTGTACTCTATAACCTAGCTATTGTGAAAAACGACTCTGTTCTCCAAATGCCCCTCAGAACCTGGATTCCAGGCCTCCACACTTGCTCTTCCTTTGAGGTGGAATGTCCTTCTCTCTGCTCTCAGTTACCTCTGAGTCCCTCTGGGTCTTAACACAGAAGTCACCTCATCTGAGAAACCTCAGACCCCCTAGGATATCAGGTGGTTTCTCTTTGCTCCCATATGCCCTGTACTGCCTTTAATGTGGCACATACTGTCCTGTATTGTGAATGTCTGTATGAGTGCCTGACTTCCCCATCAGACTGGAGGTTCTTGTGAATGTCTGGTCCATCTCCAGGCTCCCAGGTCCAGTTTAGGGCTAGACACACAGGCAAATAAGGGTAAAGGAGGGATGGGGCAGGGACTGAGGCTGCTGGGCCACTGAGTGGAGCAGGGGTTGCAGGAAGGGGCAGGGCTGAGGGGCTGGGCCAAGCCACACCTTGTCTATGTAACTCCGGCCCAGCTCCTTCACTTCCTGAAGGTGGATCTGGGCTTGGGCCTGGCTCTTCTTGCCCATCCGCCTCCGACAACGCTTCCGGTAGAGACAGAAACAGCAGCTGAAGACGAGGAGGCCTGAGACCAGCACGATTGTGGCCAGGGCCCAGGGGGGCACTGCAGAGGGCATGGAAACAGCAAACACTGACGCCCTGAGAAGCAAGCTGGCTGATGCAGTCTGGACGACATGTGTTAGCTGGCCTCGTTTTCCCTCCAACCATGTCCAATTTTATTTCTGTATTTCCTTTCCAACTGAGCTCGCCTATAAAGCTATTGGAAGCCTAAGGCAGGCTGACACCATCTGGATTTTCTTGTTTATTAGTTCCCCTTCCTCTTGTACCCCCATTCTAATTTTTCTGCTCATCCCCTGTGCTTGTAGGTTTAACCCTTCCCTGAGCCTTAGTTTCCCTATTTTGTAAAAAAGGGAAAGGTGGACCTTCCAATTCACCAATCCAAGATTCCATTCTATTCCACACCCCTTGGTCTGGTTGTTGATTTTTTTGCAAACCTGTTCCTTTTCCTTTTCATTTAGATTTCAGTCCAGAATTCCGACTATGATCACACCCATATTTTCCTGCCCGCCAGTCTGAATACACCCGCCCGAATCCGCCCCTTGGGAATCCTGACCGGGCTTTCCCTCCGCTTCGCCACAGGGTCTCGCTCACCAGGACCGTGGCTGATGCGACTCGAGTCTGGAGGCGTGTCCGGCGCTGGAGGCCCGGGTGTTGGGGGCTCCGGGAACATGGCGGCGGGGTCTTATGGTTCTTTCTGCGGAGGCACCCAAGCGCCCTATCACCCCGACACCCACCCCATGCACCCATTGAGCCCTCTGAACAACAAAGAACTCCAACTCCCATCGGCACCCTGGGCAGCTGGTTGTACAGAACACGGCCAGACGCCGCGAGGCATGCTGGGGGCTGTAGTTTCTTTCTGCGACAGAGGGCGGGGGCTGGGAGTGAATTCCGGGAGCTAGTTCCATCCCAAAGCGACGTCCCCTCCCTCCAAGGCCCCCCAGGAATCCAATTCCGCTAATTTCTGCCCCTTCTCGGCCCTTCCCCAGGGCTTGAACCGGAAGTGGGCGAAGGCAGGCGTGGGAACCAGTGCACCAGGTTGCCCAGAGCAACTGCTGGCTCCGCTAGGGCGGGGTGAAGGCAACGCTGGTTGCCTCGGCAACGGCCTGTTGCCAGGACAACGGGCGGGGCTTACGCACAGAAGCCGGGTCTGGGCGGGGCAAGCTCGTTCCGTTCCCTGACCCGCCTGGGACCCCAGACCCAATACCCGGGACGAGCGAGGGTGGGGAGGAGACGGCCTTGCCCCTCAGTGAATTCGTCCACAGCTGGCTCCTCCCTCCACATTTAGCCTCGGGAGCCAAGACTCAGGCTACCCTCCCTCTCCCACTCTTGCGGGGAATGGGTGGGGGGCTGCCCTGCTGTCTCGGCTGGGCCCCTACATCCTTCTCAGCCTGTTAGTCTCTACCGTGCACCTCGAGCTCTGTCTTCACACCTGTCCTCGTGACTGCCTCGGCCGCCACTTCTCTCTCGACTCTAAATGGAGGTCTTTCCAATTTCTATCCGTCTCTCCGTCGGCTTCTCGCGGCTCCTCCGTCTGGGTTGTCTAGTCTCTGCCTGTTGTCTGGTCCCTGTCTCCCGGGATCACGCTCTCCCCCTGCCTACTCCCTTCCTTCTGGTTCTTTGTCTCCACACCTGTCTCCGAATCCCATTCTCCTGTTTCATGCTCCAGCCTTCCCACTCCCTCTGCTAGCAGGTCTCTCCCAGTCTCCCCCCAACCCCACACACATACCATCTCTCTAGGTATGGGAATGAGGATGCGGCTGAGGGAGGGATTCCAGCTGCTCCTACCTGCTCCGCGGCTAGACAGGACCCCCGGAGAGACACAGAGGCGCTGGTCCCGCCCTGACCCCGCCTCTGCACGCAGGTGGGTGGTGCTGTCCTGGGTGCTGATCGCGGAGCGCCGTGGGGCGGGGGCGCGGCCCAACGGAGCTGGGCTGGTGTGTGTGAGCGTGTGCGTGTATATGACTGTATATGTGTGTGTGTGCGCGCGCGCGTGTTCGGTGGAGAGACCCGCCCCGCCCCTTATCCTGCCCCTAGCCTGGAACCACCAGGACGCCCACGGGTATTTATCCTGGTCCAGAAGATTCTCTGCCTTCTAGTCCAGCCACCTGGCATCCAGCCTCCCTCTCCCTACCCCACCCCTCAGTACTGCCCATGGAACCTGGCGCCAGAATATCGGGTTCTAGGACCCAGAAGACCCTCTACGGAGATCCAGGTATTCTGATATCTAGACAGGAGACTAAGCGTCAAATTCTCCAGGAAATCAGCTCCAGACTTCACTCCACCCTCAAAATTCCCCCTCACGCCAGGCCCTGGAGGCAAGCCCCCATGCTCCTAGGTTCAGGGAACCGAGTCCACCCTGCCCAGACTCTGGACCTCCAGCCTTCTCTGACTCAACTGTCCAAACCTACCTTTCTCAGGTGCAAATTGTGAGTCCTTCTAGTTTCCTCCCTAGGACATTAGCTTCAGTACCTAAACATTAGGAACCCACCCCAATATTATTTCCAGACCCAGAAATCCACTGGAGCAAGTGTCTCTGGGGAGAATAGTGATTTAATAAATTATGGGATTAAAGAAAAAAATCTGTACAGACAGTGAGTGGGGTGCAAGGAAACCTCAGATCCTTGAAGCAAGATCTGGTTTCTGGAGTAAAAGATGGGCAGGACCCTGCCTGCTCTTGCTTCTTGGGTAGCCAGAACTGTGGATCCTCGTTCCTTCCTTCCTCAGAATCTCACTTGTTTCTTTGAGACCCTGCAGCCTCCTCCTCCCTCAAAAAAAACAAGGAACTCCTAGCCTCCTATCCCTCCCCTTCTTCAAGGAATTGGAAATCTAGGATCCAGGCTCCCACCTGACCTTTCTCCCCTTCTTCTTGCAGGGCCCAGGATTCCTGGACCCAGCCCTCTGCTGTCCCAGGGGTCCAGGTATCTGGGCTGAAGTAAGGATGCAGAGTTTGAGTCTAGGTGGGCTGGAGTCTCAGCCCTCCCGCAACTTAGGCCTCTGTAGCAGCTATGTTCTCGTAAATCAGGTTCTCATACGTGGCCTCCTTCTCAGCCGGTGCTGAGGATGACTGTTGCAGAAAGCGAAGGATGCACTGGTGCAGGAACACGTACTGGGCCTAGTGGGGGGGCCGTGGAGGTGAGGGGTGCCCTCCTGGCCTCAGCCTGCTTTCTTCCAGGGTCCCACCCCCACCCACCTTGTGCCAGAGGAACCCCCTCACCTCAGTCTGCACCATCAGTGGCCGGCTTTCTCTCATCTTCCTCATGTAGCTGAAGGCCCCCACAACACCCTCACACTCCAGCTGCCGCAGCAGGACATCCAGGGCAATGAGGGTGCCAGTGCGGCCCACACCAGCGCTAGGCAGGGACAAGAAGGGGTCAGGCCATGGGAGGGGAGAGTCTTGACTGATGGAAGGATCTGTCTTTGGAGCACCTAGGGGTCAGGGTATTCAGCCACACAGTATTTTGGGGGGATACAGTGTAAGTGGGGGCTATGTAATTAAGCAGGAAGTAATAAGAAATGACCGTGTGCTGACTTCTATCTATCTGTGAGGCCCTGTTCCAAGTGCCTTACATGCTTTTTTTTCACTCCTACCACACCTAAGAAGTAGGAACTATTAGCATGCCCATTTTACAGATGGGGCAATGGAGGCTGAGCAAGGTGATTGTCCCAGGCCACTTGGGCATTGCTGGGGTTCACACATGGGCAGATGAACTCCCAAGCTGATACTTAAAAAAAATTTAATGTAAAAGTAACCATTTCAAAGTGGACAATTCAGTGGCATTTAGTCACAGTGTTGTGTAACTGCCACCTCTGTCTAGTTCCAAAACACTTCTATACCCTCAAAAGGAGACCCCCATCCCATTAAGCAGTGACTCCCCATTCCCCCATCCCTCCCAGCCCCTGAAAACCACCAGTTTTCGGGCTCTGTGCATTTGCCTATTCCAAATAGTTCATGTAGACAGAGCCATCCAACATGGGACCTTTCGTGCCTGGCTGCTTTCACTCAGCCAGGTTCATCTACATGGTCCTGTGGGCTGGTGGTTCAAGCGAATGGCCTTAACTACTGTGCAAAACTCCCTTCTGCACCTGGAGGAAGGGAGGACACTCTACTGAGGACACTTCCAGTTAATACTACCTGGGGATGGGGATGGTGTCACAACACAGCACAGCAGGGAGGTTAAGAGCTCCACCCTGGGCATCAGCTTGGCCACTCACTATTGACCGTGAACCCAGGCACCAGCTTTCTGATGCAGTTTCCTCAGCTCTCCCTTTTGTCATGAGGTTGTCCGGAGGGTCAGCCAGACTGTGGCCGATAGATAAGCACTGACCATGATGGAAACCAGAGCTCCCCTATCAGAGGCTGTCCATCCCCCTGGAACAAACTCCTTCCTCAACCCTCACATTCACATTTGTGAAATCTCACCTAAAGAGGCTTCAGCACAAATATCAGGAAAGCAGTTGTCGGGGGAGGCCCCAGCCTGTGAGCCCAAGGAGGTGTCTTCAATGTTTCTTGAAACCTTTGGCTGCTTCTCCCTCCTGCCCTTCACCTCCTCCCTACATATGCCTCCTCCTGTACCTTTCTATCTTTCCCATCTCTTCAACCCCATCCTCCTTCTCAGCTTGCATCACAGCCCCTTCACCTTCTGCCTCCATCTCCTCCTCCTCTCTTCCACCTCCTCTGGGAGTTCCCAAGAACCCAGGTAAGCCTGGTTTCTGTGTCCTGAGGGGGCGGTGGTCCCACAGGGAGAGGGCTCTGGGCTGGTCCTCACCTGCAGTGCACAATGGGAGGCCCTCCCTCCGTGCTCTGGTCCAGCCACTGCCGGAGCATCTTCCAGAAGGCCAGCACGGGGTCTGGGGAGTGGGGGACGCCGTGGTCTGGCCAGGTCACGTAGTGGAACTGACGGACGGATAAAGCCCTCCGCTCTGCCATCTAGAGGGAGGGCGGGTTGTCAGGGGGCTCAGGACCCCTGGGGCACACCACTGCTGTCCCTTGTGGGAGTGATGGGAGGTGGGATTTCATGGGGAGTTCTGGGGGAAGGGGCTGCCTGGAATGTCACGGGGGAGGAACTGAGGGCAGGGTGTATCTGGCAGGGTGTCAGGGGGCTTACATGCCAGAGCTTCAGGTCTCGTACTGTCCAGTTCTCCATCACCTCCTCACCCACCAGGGTCACCTGTAGCTGCCCGTGGGTGCAGGGTTGGGAATCTAGAGGCCAGTAATGCTCACACTTCACCTGGGGGAAGACTGGGGGGAGTCAGAGCATAGGAGGCCCCACAGAACCGCCCCCCCCCGTGCCCCTCTGTAGCATGGCTCTTGTACTCAGTGCCAGGGGATGCCCTCTGCCCTGGTGGCAAGGCAGCACCCACAGGCAGCCAGGCATAGCTTCATCCCGGCCAGGAAGACCCCTCCTTCCCCAGGTCATTGAGATCAGCTTCACCCTGCATGTGAACCATCGGATAGACTAGGGGAGACGGAAAGGTTGGAGTCATGTTGATGGAATCAGTGAGGGCTGGATCAAGGTCTACACTGGTGTCAGTGTCTGGGGCGGGGTCACGGTTGGACTCAGGGTCAGCACCCAGGACCAAGGTCTCCTCTTACCCGGCCAGACTCCACGCAGTTGGTCAGCATGACCAGGGTGTGGCTCTGCTGCTCCCACACCAGGCGCCAGAAGTCACCCACAGTCTGGGACAGGGGGCCCTGGGCTGCTATGAACTCCTGGGGGTTCCAGAGACCCTGGTTGAGGAAAACAGGTAAGTCACATCCCACTTCTGACCCTTAACTTCTGAGGCTAACTCAGCATCCTCCCAGCTCCCAATCATAACCTTACAGGAATGAAGCTGGCGTTGATGTACTCGGAGCCTGGCTCCCCAGGGAGGGGTGTCAGGGGCACGCGGGACCAGTCATCTAGGAGAAGAGGCCAGCATTAGCGAGAATGGCGCCACCCAGAGGAGCAAGGAGATGAGGCTGAGACCCAGGGATGGAGGGCGTGCCGAGGTGCAGACGCTGGGAGCTCAGGGAGAGGCAGAGGGGCCTCGGCTGGCAGGAGCCGGCCAGGGGCTCTCACATCACGGGGTAGGAGTTCAGGGGAGAAGGGACAGGGTCCAGGGATGGGGTATTGACAAAGTCACAGCTGAGAGTAAAGTCAGCAGAGGCTTACGACCCACAGGGCAGCACGTTTCTGTAACGGTTCTTGATGCTGTTTTCTGGAGCTGAGGCCATTATCTGGGACTGGCTGTGGTCCTCCAGGTCCAGTTGCTGGGGGCGGAAGTAGAGGAGGGACGCACAGATGCTGGATTTTCTCTGCCCTTCCCCAGGTATACCCTCACTGCTGCCTATGTCATCCTAAGCACCCTGCCCCACTCACCCCTTGTGCCCTGGAATTCCGTAGCACCCACAGAAATAGGTCAAGTGTGTGCACCATCTCTGGGGGGCATTGGGGAGGACTGACGGGACCATGGGGACTGGGAAGGTAGGCAAGAGAGGAGACATCAGGGAAAAACCAAGGTGTTTCTTTAGGACTGACCCATCGATCCATCACTAGTGTAAGATTTCAATGGGTTGAAAAGATGGATAATCATGCCCAGGAATTTCTGTGTAAGCCAACAAAGCATGTGTCACTGCTTTCCGTCCAATCCCAAAGGTGTGGAAATGTCTGGGTGGGCACGTGGGCCTGGGCGCAGCCCCCTCTGTTCTGTTCTCACCCCACCTGGTACTCCACTGCAAAGCCGTAACCGCTGTCCATCTCATTATTCCTGACATGCTCAGCAAAATCTTCAGCCCGGATGTCCCTGGGGGGAGGGGAGGGGCAAATAGTTTAACCTCCTTTAATTCTGTGCTCTTGGGATAAAAGAAAAGGGTTTTGTTTTGTCTTGTTTTGTTTGAGCTCCCAAGACTTATAGCTGGAAGTAGGAACCTTCTGACCACCTTCACCCATTTCAGCCTTCTGACACTCTGCCTCTGGCAACCACCAATCTGTTCTCTGAACCTGTGAGTTCAAGGTTTTTGTTTTGTTTTTGTTTCAGATTCTGAATATAAGTGAGATGATACAGTATTTGTCTTTCTCTATTTGACTTATCTCACTCAGTATAATGCCCTCAGGGTCCATCCATGTTGTCACAAATGGTGAGATTTTCTTGTTTGTGGCTGAGTAGTATTCCACTGTATAGACAGCTCATAGCTTCTTTATCCATTCACCCATAGATGGACACTTAGGTTGTTTCCATGTCTTGGCTGTTGTGAACAATGCTGCTGTGAACAAGGGAGATGCAGATATCTTTCCAAATTACTGATTTTGTTTCTGTTTCATCAACTCCACTTCTGAGTATACACCCCCAGGAATTGAAAGCAGGCTCTCAAAGGGGTATCTGTACACCCACGTTCATAGCAGCCCTAATCACAATAGCTAAAAGGTGGAAGCAACCCAAGCGTCCATCGACAGAAGAATGGATAAGCAAAATGTGGTCTATCCATATAATGGACTATTACCCAGCCTTAAGAAGAAAGGAGATTCTGCCACAGGCTACAACATGGATGGAACTGGAAGGCATTATGCTGAACGGAATAAGCCAGTCACAAAAGGACAAATAAAAGGACAAATGTGATTCCACTTATATGCGGCACCAAGGGTTGTCAAATTCATGCAACCTGAAAGTAGGATGCTGGTCTCCAGGGACTGAGGATCTAGGGGAAATAGGGAATGGGTGTTTAATGGGGACAGAGTTCCAGTTTTGCAAGACGAAAAGACTTCTGGAGATGGATGGTGGTGACGGTTGCACAACAGTGTAAATGTACTTAATGCCATGGAACTGCACACTTAAAAACAGTTCAAGCTAGAACACTCCCTCACACCATACGCAAAAATCAACTCAAAATGGATCAAAGACTTAAACATAAGACAAGATACAATAAACCTCCTAGAAGAAAACATAGGCAAAACATTATCTCACATTCATCTCAACAATGTTCTCCTAGGGCAGTCTGCCCAAGAAACAGAAATAAAAGCAAGAATAAACAAATGGGACCTAATTAAACTTACCAGCTTTTGCCCAGCAAAGGGAACCATAAGCAAAAAAAAACAACAACCCACGGAACGGGAGAAAATATTTGCAAAAGATGAAACTGACAAAGGCTTGATCTCCAGAATATATAAACAGCTCACACAACTTAATAAGAAAAAAAACAAACAACCCAATCCAAAAATGGGCAGAAGACCTAAACACGAAAAAATGCTCAATATCACTAATTATCAGAGAAATGCAAATTAAAACTACAGTGAGGTATCACCTTACACCAGTCAGAATGGCCATCATTCAAAAGTCCACAAATGACAAATGCTGGAGAGGCTGTGGAGAAAGGGGAACCCTCCTACACTGCTGGTGGGAATGCAGTTTGATGCACCCATTATGGAAAACAGTATGGAGATTCCTCAAAAGATTAGGAATAGACTTACCATATGACCCAGGAATCCCACTCCTGGGCATATATCCAGAAGGAACCCTAATTCAAAAAGACACCAGCACCCCAATGTTCATAGCAGCACTATTTACAATAGCCAAGTCATGGAAACAAATGTCCATCAACAGATAACTGGATAAAGAAGCTGTGGTATATTTATACAATGGAATACTATTCAGCCATAAAAATGACAACATAATGCCATTTGTAGCAACATGGATGTCCCTGGAGAATGTCATTCTAAGTGAAGTAAGCCAGAAAGAGAAAGAAAAATACCATATGATATCACTCATATGTGGAAAGAAGAAGGAGGAGGAGGAGAAGGGGAAGGGGAAGAAGAAGGTAAATGAACTTAAATATAAAACAGAAACAGACTCACAGACATAGAATACAAACTTGTGGTTGCCAGGGGGAAGGGGGTGGGTAGGAATAGTCAGGGAGTTAGAGATTTATAGATCCTGGCAGGTATATATAGAATAGATAAACAAGTTTATACTGTATAGCACAGGGAAATACATACAAGATCTTGTAGTAGCTCACAGTGAAAAAGAATATGAAAATGAACATATGTATGTTCACGTACGACTGAAAAATTGTACTGTACACCAGAAATTGACACAATGTAAACTGACTATAACTCAATAAAATTAAAAAAAAATCTGTTTGGACTCAAAAAAAGGAAATGGGACTTCTCTCATCTAAGACCACTCCCCTTTCTCCTGGGCCCCAGTCCCCTGCAGCCCTCTCCAGCCATGGGTTCTTCCTTCTCCTACACCAGGAACCTCTCCCCTTTCCCTTTGCATGTACATGTTCTAATCTTGCTTCTGTATTAAAAAGAATCCTCTGACCTCATGCCACTCCAGGTCCAGCTCTTTCTCTCTCCTCCCCCAATAATATAGTGTTATGAATACTGTCCTGACTCAGTTTTGACACCCTGGATGGAGGCTGGTCAGTTTCCCTTCTTGACATGCTGGTTAAATCCACACCCTCACCACCTCCCCTAACAGGATCACACACTCTGGGCTACTATCCATCTGCCCAAATTCTGCCCCAACTCCAAGCCCCAGGAACAGGTACCAGAAAACCAGGCACAGCCCCTACGCCCCAGGACCTGCTGAAATGATTCAAACTAAGCCTGTTTGCCTTGGATTGAAACCATGAGAAAGGCTCTTGTTTGAGTGCCCCTCACTTCACGGCCAACCTGGTGCCTCCCCACGTGGCCCTGCAGGGTGTAATGTGTACTCCCTCTCTTGGGATCTGTGAGTGTAAAAAATCTTTAATGCCAGTCGTCTCCTGATCCAGTGGGCTTACCGTACCTAAACAATAATGACACCTGTGAAAACACATTCAAACTTCTCACGTGGACCAGTTCTCTCTGCTTCCTTCCCATACATCACCGTGGCCTGGTCTCTACACCACGACTCCAGGGGAACAATGACCTTTTGTGGTTCAAAGTCCCCTTATCTCATTTGCCTCCTTATCTCCAATTCCAAAGGCCACCTCTCAGTCCCTCCTCTGCGTGAGAGCTCAGCAGCCTGTAGTTTCTCTGACTGCCTCTTCCTTTTTTCTGGACCATCTCCTCATGTGCACCACCACTGCCTCTCTGACGGGTGCTTCTCCATCTCCTCAGTGGGGCTCTCATCCTCTGTTCATCAAATGGTAGGTGTTTCCGGGAGTCTGTCCTTAAGCCCTCTTTTCTCACTGGACACACACGTCTCATGGGGTCTGTCCACTTACATAGCTTCACTTTCAATCTGCACATCTGCGATTTCTGAATCTTCGTTGCCAATTTCTACTTCTCGCTCCCCTGACCTTCAGCTCTATTTACCCACTGGCCTCCTGGAAGCTCCACCTGCATGTCCTAGAGGATCATCGCTAGGACATCCAAACATGCACACTGAGGGTTGGGGATGGCAAAATGCTCAACATACAAGACAGGGTGAGACTTGGAGCCCAACAGGTGCAGCAATTTGCTGCAGATGCCATACAAGGCACCGGACAGAGGGTAAGGAGGGGAAAGGGCAAGCAGGGTGGGACTCTGGCCAGGACAGATACTGCCGCAAAGAAGAAACTGGACGTCATCTGCCCCATCACTAGTGTTTGCTCTGCCTCATGCGTCTGCCTCGGATGGCCACGCCCTCCGTTGACGCCTCATTCTTTTGCACGCAGGCTGTCACAGCTGGTCTCCCAGCTTCCCTTTACTCTCTGTCCCATCTCTCCTCTCTTGATCCCTGGGGATCATTCTCACGTGGACACTTGGTGTCACTGACCCAACTAAGGAGGAGTCAGAGAATGGAGACCTTTGCACAAACGTTCTCCTGAACCATGGATCTGTTTATCCACCTGACCATTCATCATTGTCTTCACTTGCATGTCCAACAAGCATCTCAAATTCAGCGTGTCCACCACCGAGCTCCCAATACCTTCCCAAAGCTCCCCCACCCTCCACCCCATGGTCATTCCAACTCAAGCAACAACATTTCCAGTATTCCTGGAGCTCAGGCTAAATTCCTTGGAGTCACTCTTGAGCCCTCTCTGAACCCCACACTGCACTTCCATTCTCTAACCACATCTGCTGTTTAAACACTCAGACACTGCCTTGAATCTGATTACCTCTCACCATTTCCCATTCCAAGACATAACTACCTCTTGTTTGGATTGTAACAGGGAAGAACAAACCTGACTCCATATTGGTCTGTTTCTTTTACTTTAACCTTTGTTGCATTTGCCACAAGTTCATCACCAAAGGGATGCTGCCTATAAGCTTAAATTACACATAATGGCCCATCTCTGGGAACCCTGCCTCCCAGGTAACCAGCACTAAGCTAAAATAACTTTGTTGGGCTCACAGGAAACATCCTGACCAGGCCCCCCTGTGAATGACTGCAGGAAGGAAGGAATTAACACCTCCCCTCTGGAGGCTGACGTGAAACAGGAGGTGTGTGACTTTACTCCCACCCCTCTTAGTATAAAAGAAGCCTGAATTCTAACTCAGGCAAGATGGTTCTTTGGGACACTAGTCACAATCTTCACCAACTTCTTTATTAGTGGCTCCTTGTGCTAGAATGTAAGCTCCACAAGGGCAGGAATCTTTGGTAGATTCACTGTTTCCTCAACACCCAGAACAGTACCTGACACTTAACAGGGGCTCCGTTACTGTTCTGTTGGATGAATGAATGGACGTCCCAGAGCTGAGACTGACACCAATCCCACGGCCACCAGTCCAGGCTCTCAGGGAATGGGGAGCGGCAGAAGCACTGAAGCACTGTGATCCCTGCCACAGACAGCATCAGCCCCTTCTGAGGCTTGTGGGGGGGATTCACTGATCCTGCCCTCTGACCTACCCAGTGACCAGCAAACACCCCAGGATCTGACCTTGACAACGAGTCTTTCAGACGCTCTCCCAAACCTTTCACTCACCTGCAGATCAGATCCCTGTGTGCCTGTTTCTTCTCACTCTTCTTACACCTGGGAAAAGGACATTAGGGTGAAAGGCTGGGAGGGGAGTGAGGCCGGAACCAGGGGTCCTCACCTTTCCCGCAACCCCCGCCCTCCAGGCACCCAGTCAGTCCTGTGCTGAGTCTCACCTCTTCTTCAGGAAGAAAACCAGCAAGCCCACCAGGATGAGAAACAGGAGGACACCGACGATGGCTCCTACGATGACCACTGGAGGAAGGAGGCATGGGGGGCTGTTAGAGCCTGGGTCACCTCTCCTGGTGTCCTGTCTCTGCTACCTCTGTCCTAACCCAGACTGTGATCAGAGGGTCTGCAGGGTAGCTACGAGGGCAGAGAAGGGAAAGGAGAAAGCTTGTGCGTAAAGCCCTATTTCCCACTCAAACTTTCCTCCCAGTCCCAGGAGCCTGGTCCAAAGACAGCACTTTCCCAAGCAATCTGCTTTTTAGAGTGACTCTCCCCTTCCTTGGTCTAGACTACCGATTCTCACTGAGGGTGGTTTTGCCGACCAGGAGACATCGGGCAATGTCTAGAGACACTTTCGATTCTTACAACTTCAGCAGCAGTGCCACCGGCATCGAGCGGGTGGAGGCTGGGGATGCTGCTCGACACCCTACAGTAATACCCAGGACAGTCCCCACCAGAAAGAGTGATCCAGCCCAAGATCCACGAGGACCTGTCTCAGCAAGAGTACCCTGGACAGTGGGACCACCGAGCCCAGCCTGGAAGAGCACCCCATGATCAGTGCACCAAACTCCAGTGTCTCCAGATCAAAGACCCCATCTCCTAAGAGGCTCCGATTCCTAGGCGCTGACCGACGGGGGCCCAGGGAAGCCTATGACCATGGTCAACAGTACATGAGCAAAGATTTCCCGAGGTTCAGACTTCTTCAAATGTCCCACTGGTGAGTGAAAAATCGTGCGACCATGCTGGGAAAAAATTTGGCAGTTCTTCAAAAGGTTAAACACAGAGTTACCACATGATCTAACAATTTCACTTCCAGGTATACACCCAGGAGAAACGAAGACACACACCCACACAGAAATGTGCACACAAATGTCCAGAGCACCATTCAGAACAGCCAAAAAGTAGGGTCCGTCCATGGATGAATGGATAAACAAAATGCAGTCTATCTGTACAATGAAATATTATCCGGCAATAAAACGTAATGAGGTGCTGATACACGCCAGAACATGGATGAACCTTAGACGCATTATACTAAGTGAGAGAAGCTAGTCACAGAGGACCACGTACTGTGTGATTTTTTTTTTTTTGGAAATGTCCAAAAGAGGCGTATCTATAGAGACAGAAATAGATTAGAGACAGACAATGGCTGGTTGGTGGGGAATTACCGAAACTAGGGGGTGATTAAGGGGTAATACAAATACGGTAATAAAAATATCCTAAAATTAATGACGATGATGGTATAATGATGATGAGTATATTAGAAGCCACTGAGTTGCACACTTAAATGGGTGGACTGTTACAGGTTATAGGAATGACATCTCAAAGGTGCTGTTTTACAGAAAGCAGGAAACAAAACATAAACAAAAAGGACCCCATGGGGTGGTGAGACTCCTTCACAACAGGGCCTGATGGGGTCTGAGAGAATGTCACTGTAGCTCTCTGTACCGGTGGGGCTCTGCTCACCTGTGCTCTCAGTGCGGCAGGTCACGGAGGCAGACCGTGCCTCCCTTCCATCCCAGATGGTTGTGACGGTGGCTGCGTAGGCCTGAGCTGGCCTCAGTCCCGACAAGGACACGCCCTTCCCACAGGAGGATCCGTTCTGGGAAAACTGCTGCTTGCCCACCTTCACCTTAAAGGCCTCATAGCCTCCCGGGGGGCAGGACCAGGTCAGGATGACCCCGTAGCCCCCCGAAGCGCTGATGCAGGACATGATGGAGGCGGGGCTTGGATCTGGGTGGAACGGATAGGAGGAATCAGTAGGCTCCATCCAAGCCAGTTTTCTAAGTCCCCACTCCCCACCAGTCGTGCCAGTAATCTGAGAACTAGCTCATCCTCTTCTTCCCCCAAAACAAAACACCTCTTCTTCCCTCAGTTCCTGTTGTCCCCAAATGGACGCACCGCAGGTTGCCTCAAACTACAACTCCCATTAGCCCAGAGAAGGTGCCACCTTGGCCAGTTCATAATCTCACCCAAGAGAGTGCATAATGCTACCTCTCACCTGTGGCGGCATTGAGAGTCACCCGGGAGCTGTTGACTCCATTCTTTCCTGCCCACACAGAGAATTTGTACAAGGTCCCGGGTTCAAGTCCTTCCACTGTGAAACTGGTGTTGGCTGTGCACATGGTCTCAATTGGGTCTCCCTCT